CAAACTGCCAACTCCAGCCAGGAGAGCTACTTCTATTACCAAGTGATCCCTTCTTTTCTCTAACAACCAGAGGTTTCTCACATTGTCTATTCAGCCAATAAGAAAAAGGCTCTGCTTCTGCCCTAAGCCTGTTCATTCAGAATCCACTGAAATGAACCCCGCACGTGCTCTGCATCAGCAGAAGTGCACCGCCATCTGGTGGTCACATGTCTAACTACTGAAACCTCTGGTTAAATATTTTCTTAGCCTGTGTGTATAAGGGACTCAGATACATAAAAGCAGCAATAAATGAAACAAATTATGTCGTAGATTGTAGAGTAAATGCACGTTAATAGTGCAGAGATCAGGATTTATATCTCTGCACACTACTGAGTAGTTGTTCATAAGCTGGAGAGAGGTAGATGCTGTTGCTGTTTATTCAGTGACGGACCCGGTATACAGGTTTGAAATCAGGAAAGCACCATGATTCATTCTCTTAAACAAAGAAGATGCAAAACCTTCCTTTTCAGCCAAATCTAAAATCTTCATTTGTCTGTTGTGGACAGACAAAGATCAGATCAAGAGCCAAAGATCAGAGTCGGAGAGAGAAGACCAGTTGATATTTCAAATGCCTATTATCTCAGCCTCTGCTCCTCTCAGCTGGTCTTGCCTGTGAATTTGCTGTTACCAGAGAACTGACAGTACCAGCAGTCAGATTGTGGAAACCTTCTTCAGGAAAGATGATTGTGGTATGAAGTAAAGGAGCAAACATCAATGATAAAGAAACAGAGGGAAATGTTCTGTATTTAGGAAACAGTGTGACCTATGGATTGGTGCACAAGAAGAAATCCGACATACTCCAAGAAATATATTCCTATTGCTATGTGGATTACATACTACTAAGTATTGTAAGAAAGAGTAGACATTCTCAGAAAATGTAGGCTGCAGATTCAAAAAATGCAACCATATGTAAACTTTTTACATGTGCTTTTATTTTCTGATATCAAAAGAGATGGCATATCTTAAATGCAAGACTGACTCAGGTCCTTGGTGGAATTCCCTCAATCGTGCAAGGCATGGATTTCTGCTACCTTGGCTGTTACTGGATCAGCTTCCATTGTCTATCATTTTTCTCCCAAACTCCACTACAGTGTTTTTCCCCAAGACATTAATAAAGTTCCTCCGTTCTGTAAATTTCCAGAATTATCTCCCTCTGCCAAAAAAAAATCCCTTCTCATCTACTTTAATAATTTGATATTTTCCAATTACCTCTGTAAGAAAAAAATCTAGGGAAGACAAAATATTGCCTGTGTCTGCTAGAGGGATAGCAGAAATAGGTAAATGAGCCTAAAGAACTGATCATGAGAAGGGATCCCTGGGAAATTAAGAGCATCTCATTTTCAGAAATGAAAGCCCCTCTCCTGTGATTTGTACTCATTACTTTATGGAGTAAGTGCAAATGAAAGTAATCCCTTATAATCCCTCATCCACACTTCATACCCTTAGAGATTTAAGGACAGCTAAGATAAAAAATAATTAGAAATCAACATATAAATTTGTATGTAAATATAAAATGTGCATTTTTACGTATATAAACCTTTTCTACCAAGGATCTTCCTCTGTTATTTCTTCCATCCTGTGTAGGATAGAATTCAAATAATTATGAAGAAAATTTCCCTCTTCTGAGAAACGGAGACTTTTTTTTAAGACCTGCCCACAAGATACCTGGTTTTATTGCATTTCACTTTTCGAACTTTGGAGATACTACTTTTATTTATTCTACTTTCTTTTTTTAAAACAAATTGATGGTTTGTGTCAACCCTGCATCAAGCAAGTTTATTGGTGCCATTTTTTCAACAGCATTTGTTCACTTCATGTCTCTGTCACATTTTGGTAATTCTCACAGTATTTCACTTTTTTCATTATTATCATTATTATTGTTAAGGTGATCTGTGATCAGTGATTTTTTTGGTTGTTTTGTTTTATTTTATCAAAGCATAGCCAGTTTATAATTTTGTGTCAATTTCCAGTGTACAGCATAATGTTTCAGTCATGCATATACATATATATATATTCATTGTCATTTTTTATTAAAGCTTATTACAAGATATTGAATATAGTTCCCTGTGCTATACAGTATAAACTTATTGTTTATCTATTTTATATATAATAATTAGTACCTGCAAATCTAGAACTCCCAATTTATCCCTTTCCACCCCCTTTCCCTTCTGGTAACCATACATTTTTTTTCTATGTCTGTGAGTCTGTTTCTGTTTTGTAGATAAGCTCGTTCATGTCATTTTTTTAAAGATTCCACATATAAGTGATATTATGTAGTATTATTCTTTCGCTTTCTGGCTTACATCACTTGGTATGACGATCTCCAAGTCCATCTATGTTGCTGCAAATGACATTATTTTATTCTTTTTATGACTGAGTAGTATTCCATTGTAGATATATACCGCAACTTCTTTATCCTGTCATCTGCAAGAGACAGAGATTTAGGTCAGTGTTTACCCTTTCAAGTTATGGTATCCAGAACTGAATGTTACAGTTTGAATATGCTCTGTTCAGCACAGTGTTCCATATATTAACTTTAGCACAAGTATAATCCATCCCCTGGGCAAAATTCACTGCTCCACAAATATTTTATTGAAGATTACGTGACTCATCATAAAAAGGCATTGATTTGGGAAGGCTTTTTCTAGTACCTTCACGAAATGTGAGCTGCATAAAATAATGTTCCCCTTAGTCTCCAAATACAGTGATCATTTTTTATAACAACGTATTAGTGATGCTCTATATTTTGCTATCTTATTGTTTTATACTGTTATCTTGGATTTGGCTTCCGTTTTACAAAATGCAGTTGGATTAAAGGATTTCCAAAGAGTTCTTCTTTTATACTATTTAACAAAGTAAATATTTATTGAGGGATGGTTATGCAGCACAATGTAGACTGGTGTGAGAGTGGGGAGAAATTAACTGCATCATGGAACCCAGGACCATTTTCACATCCTCATGCAAT